TTGTGGTGGTGGATGGGGTCAGCAGTGTTGTGGTGGTGGATGGGGTCGGCAGTGTTGTGGTGGTGGATGGGGTCGGCAGTGTTGTGCTGGGAGATGGGGTCAGCAGGGCTGTGGTGGTGAAGGTGATTGTAGAGATATTTGTTAACACCCAAATTAGCATTCACCTTCAAATGATTCCAATTTCTTTACCTTCTAACTGAATAATGAATATTTTCTGAAATTTTATGGATATAGTATTTTCATACTTCAAGTCACTTTATCAAATATTTCTAACCCTCAACTGTTTCTTTGAGTCTGTTTTGAGACATTACAATCCATTGTATTGATTACAGGTATGTTACACTGTGACAGATTGCAATTGTGTTGAAGTGGGGTGTGTTAATATGTCCCATTACACTCCCACTGATTTCAGTGATCTTTCAAAACTACAAAACTTTTCAGTTGAATGTAGTAGGATTACAGTGAGCTGATTACAAGCAATGAATGGAAAATAAACAACAAAAAAATGCTGGAAATACTCAGTGTACCAGGCAGTTTCTGTAGACAGAAAATTTCAGGTCAATGACTTGTCAAAGGTACTGATGAAAGCTCTTTGATTTGAAACATTAACTGTTTTTCTCTCTCTGAAGATACTGCCAGATTTGCTGAGTATTTTGTCCATTTTGTACATTTATTCATGATTTCCGCATTCTGCACTAATGTTGATTGGGCCGCAGCTAGACTATTGTGTGGAGTTCTGAAATCCACATTATAGGAGGGATGTGATAGCACTGGAGAGGGTGCCGAGGGAAATTTACCAGGATGTTGTCTGGGCTGGAGAGTTTTAGTTACGAGGAAACATTAGACAGACTGAGGTTGTTTTCCTTATAGCAGAAGAGACTGAGGGCAGACATGATTGAGATGTATGAAATTATGAGGGGCATAGACAGGAAGGAACTTTTCCTCTTGGTGGAGGGATCAATGACCAGGGGGCATAGATTTAAGATAAAAGGCAGGAGGTTTAGAGGGGATGTGAGGAAAAGTTTTTTTTTCCGCCAGGGGTTAGTGGGAATACTGGAACTCACTGCCAGTAAAGGCGGTAAAGGTAGAAAACCTCATAACATTGAATATTTATTTTCATGTGTGCACATTTGATGCCAAGGCACACAAGGCTATGGGCCAAGTGCTGGAAAATGGGATTAGAATACGACGCCGACGTAGCTCCGCCCACCACCTCCACAGCCAGCAGCTCCAGAGGAGACAGCAGCACCCAGCCCTGCCGAGTCTTCACCATCCCCCCAGACCTACCCCTTACTGAGGACGAACGGTCAGTCCTCAGTAAAGGGCTCACCTTTGTCCCCCTCCACCCACAGATCAACGAATACCGCTCACGCTTGGACATAGAGCAGTTTTTCCGCCGCCTCCGCCTCCACGCTTACTTCTTTAACCGTGAACCTAACCCTCCCTCTACTGACCCCTTCTCCCGCTTCCAACACACCCCCTCCTCCTGGGCACCACCCCAAGGCCTCCTACCCTCCCTCGACCTCTTCATCTCCAACTGCCGTCGAGACATCAATCGCCTCAACCTCTCCACCCCTCTCACCCACTCCAACCTCTCCCCCGCAGAACGTGCAGCCCTCCGCTCCCTCCGCTCCAATCCCAACCTCACCATAAAACCCGCGGACAAGGGAGGTGCAGTTGTAGTATGGCGCACTGACCTCTACATCGCCGAGGCCGGACGCCAACTCTCCGACACCTCCTCCTACCGCCCCCTTGATCATGACCCCACCCCTGAGCACCAAACCATCATCTCGCAAACCATCCACAACCTCATCACCTCAGGTGACCTCCCACCCACGGCCTCCAACCTCATCGTTCCCCAACCTCGCACTGCCCGCTTCTATCTCCTTCCCAAAATCCACAAACCTGAATGCCCTGGTCGACCCATTGTCTCCGCCTGCTCCTGCCCCACCAAACTGATCTCCAACTATCTCGACTCCATTTTCTCCCCCTTGGTCCAGGAACTCCCTACCTATGTCCGTGACACCACCCACGCCCTCCACCTCCTCCAGAACTTCCAATTCCCCGGTCCCCAACACCTCATCTTTACCATGGACGTCCAGTCCCTCTACACCTGCATTCCCCATGCAGATGGCCTTAAGGCCCTCCGCTTCTTCCTGTCCCGCAGGCCCGACCAGTCCCCCTCCACTGACACCCTCATCCGCTTAGCCGAACTCGTCTTCACACTCAACAACTTCTCTTTCAATTCCTCCCACTTCCTACAGACAAAGGGGGTAGCCATGGGTACCCGCATGGGCCCAAGCTACGCCTGCCTCTTTGTAGGTTACGTGGAACAATCCCTCTTCCGTACCTACACCGGCCCTAAACCCCACCTCTTCCTCCGTTACATTGATGACTGTATCGGTGCCGCCTCGTGCTCCCACGAGGAGCTCGAACAGTTCATACACTTCACTAACACCTTCCACCCCAACCTTAAGTTTACCTGGACCATCTCTAACACCTCTCTCCCCTTCCTGGACCTCTCTGTCTCCATATCGGGCAACCACCTAGAAACCGATATTCATTTCAAGCCCACCGACTCCCACAGCTACCTAGAATACTCCTCCTCCCACCCACCTTCCTGCAAAAATGCTATCCCCTATTCCCAATTCCTTCGCCTCCGCCGCATCTGCTCCCAGGATGAGGCATTCCACTCCCGTACATCTCAGTTGTCCTCGTTTTTCAAGGACCGTAACTTCCCCTCCTTGGTGGTCGAGAACGCCCTCAACCGTGTCTCCCACATCTCCCGCACCTCATCCCTCACACCCCGTCCACGCAATAAAAACCAAAAAAGAATCCCCCTCGTCCTCACGTACCACCCCACCAACCTCCGGATCCAACGCATCATCCTCCGACACTTCCGCCATCTGCAATCCGACCCCACCACCAAAGACATCTTTCCCTCCCCACCTTTATCTGCTTTCCGGAGGGACAACTCTCTCCGTGACTCCCTTGTCCGCTCCACACTCCCCTCCAGCTCCACCACACCCGGCACTTTTCCCTGCAACCGCAGGAAGTGCTACACCTGCCCCCATACCTCCTCCCTCACCCCCATCCCAGGCCCCAAGAAGACTTTCCACATCAAGCAGATGTTCACCTGCACATCTGCCAATGTGGTATACTGCATCCGCTGTACCCGGTGTGGCTTCCTCTACATCGGGGAAACCAAGCGGAGACTCGGGGACCGCTTTGCAGAACACTTACGCTCGGTTCGCAACAAACAACTGCACCTCCCAGTCGCGAACCATTTCAACTCCCCCTCCCATTCCTCAGACGACATGTCCATCCTGGGCCTCCTGCAGTGCCACAACGATGCCACCCGAAGGTTGCAGGAACAGCAACTCATATTCCGCTTGGGAACCCTGCAGCCCAATGGTATCAATGTGGATTTCACAAGTTTCAAAATCTCCCCTCCCCCCACCGCATCCCAAAACCAGTCCAACTCGTCCCTGCCTCCCTAACCTGTTCTTCCTCCCACCTATCCCCTCCTCCCACCCCAAGCCGCACCTCCATCTCCTACCGACCAACCTCATCCCGCCCCCTTGACCTGTCCGTCCTCCCTGGACTGACCTATCCCCTTCCTAACTCCCTACCTACACTCACCTTTCCTGGCCCCATCCCCGCCTCTTCGACCTGTTTGTTTCCTCTCCACCTATCCTCTCCTCTATCCCTCTTCTATCCGCCTCCCACTCTCTCCCTATTTATTTCAAAACCCCCTTCCCCTCCCCCTTTTCTGATGAAGGGTCTAGGCCCGAAACGTCAGCCTCTCTGCTCCTATGATGCTGCTTGGCCTGCTGTGTTCATCCAGCCCTGCACCTTGTTGTCTCGGATTCTCCAGCATCTGCAGTTCCTACTATCTCTTAGAATAGTTAATGCTTGTTTTTGACTAGCACAGACTTGATGGACGAAGGAGCCTTTTTCTGTCCTGTAGATCTCTATCACTGTTTGACTATTTTGTATAAATTGAATGAGGATATGTTAGAGGAAGATTTCATAGCTGTTAAAATGAGTGCAACTGTGTTAGTGAGATCACAATCCCATTAAACAGAATGGATCTGTTAGAGTGAGATTATAATCCCACTGAATTGCATAAATCATTGTTACTAACTCATTGAATTGAATGAAATCATGTTAATTTAGTTTAAACGAGACATCTAGAAACAGATTATATTGATGTCCTGAGACTGGGTCAGGAGGAGGAGAATCGAGACTGTTCTGCACTCTACAGGATAGTGTTGCTGTCATGGCAATTGACAACTGAATCTGTGTTCAGGCATCCACTGGGAATGTTTCCATCACAAATTTCACAGGAACTACTTGTAACTGTACTTGAATATGTTGATTCATTTTATGGTGGGTTGGGGAGCTGGAATGATCCTACTTTATGGATATGACAGTGTTAAAATGGAGTGGAATTGGATGGGTTACTATTAATCATTAGGGAGAAGAGTAAGGATTCTGTGAAGTGATGGATATGAGAGAATGTTACAGAGGTTGAGGCAAGGCTTCAGCTGCAGTTAGAGATAGTAGGAACTGCCGATGCTGGAGTCAGAGATAACAAGGTGTGGAGCTGGATGAACACAGCAGGCCAAGCAGCATCAGAGGAGCAGGAAAGCTGACGTTTCGGGTCTGGACCCTTCTTCAGAAATGGGGGAGGGGAAGGGGGCTCTGAAATAGCTACAGTCAGATGTCTGTGTATACTGCACATAAATATATCTCACACAAGGACAGAGTCAGCTTCTAATTAACAGTGAGCCTTCCACTGCCAGGTTCAGTGACCATCCTGATAGATAACCCAACAAACAGATCAGTGAGACAGGCAGCTGTAGATTTAATAATTGCTAGATGGCATGGAGTGAGCAGCCCACAGTGAGGTGTGCGGGAATTTCCTTGCTGTTTCCCTGCTTAGATTTTTAACCTCATTTTATTAAGAAAAAGAAAACT